GGCACACCGCAGGTAAGGCCTGGCAGCTAAACCCCGGAGCCGCTCCTCGGGATACCTCTGCTCCCAGGGCAGGCTGAATGACCTGGAGCGGATTTGTCTCTTTCCCTGCCTCGGTTTCCTAGTGTGTGACCTATCGGCAAACTGCGGTGTGGTAGGCAAGGAGGAGGGGTGACCTCGGCCGGTGACGCCACTTTTCCCTGATACTTTCCTTGTGTGACTGCCAAGCGGTTTCCTAAGCCTCAAAAGAGCCTGGAAGAGTGGAGGCACTGCCACGTCTGTGCTCCAGGCTGAAGGGCACTGTGACAGCTTGGTCTTATGGAAGTTCATGGTTCTTGGTACAGGAATGTCCTCCTTTTAGTTAAGTGCTATCACATGTGCTGTCGAGATCCTGGAGATACTTCTTGTGGCGTCCCTCATCCCCTTACAAACCCCTTGCACCTTTTATGTGCTTATTAAACACGAGCCAAGGCCTGTTCTGAATCACTGGGTGCCGGGAGATCTGCGTCTTTAGCACTGTTACTCACTGCTTCTTTCATTTGCCATTTTCCTCTATTTCCCTCTTCCTTCTGTACTCTTCTTGCTTTGCCTTTCCCTTTTTAACCTAGAAGTCCCAGTGCTCACCGCAGTGACATTTTCTGTTCCTGCCATTCCTCTCCCACTCCAGTGAGTGGCAATAGAAGAGCTGGTTTTCAGCCATTCCCACATTATGGTCAGCAGGGCGACACTCTGATGAGGTAAATGGATGGGAGGAGAGGCAGGTTTTGGGGTGCCGCTTTCAAGCTGCCAGTTGCTATGGAAAGCTACAGGCTCAGGCACAGCCTATGGCTACTCGGCCTGTGGCTGCCTGCCACGGAGTTTGGAGAAAGGCTCAGGTTCTCTGCATGCTGCCTGCCCAACAGCGGGCATCAGATGGACTCCTCTGTGCCCATGTGGGGTTTGGTTTACAGACTTTAACCCCATCTTCAAACACTCTCCCCTCATACCTCTCTCAGAGAGAGCCCAGTTGTGGAAGTCAAGGCCTACAGATGTCAAGGGGTTGTGAGAGCGGGTCTGTCGCAGGCTTTCATGTTCATGTCTGTTGTGCTGTGGTTTGTGTTTCTTGCTTCCTCTCTCCTTTCTTCTCATGGGAGAGTGAGCACTTTTGTCCTGAGCTTGAGCTGCACATGATACATTTAATAGGGCTTTGGGCCGGTCAGACAGCAACCTGGGGGAGCTCTAGTTCTACACTGTCTCGCTGTGGTTCCTGTCTAACAGGGGACTTTCCTGTTTTCCAGGCCCACGTTCCCAGCATACTCATTTCCTCCCTATAAGGATTTTACTGCACAGCCTGCAGGAGCTAAGCTTCCTGAGATATCATACAAAGTTTTAGCTTCCCATGCAGGGAAGCCAGGTCACTGATGTTCAGCTTCCTCAAGGCTCTGCAATCTAGCTCCATGCACATAACACCACAGGCCCTTGCACTTCTGCTGACAGCTTCTCCCTGCCTTAGACAGAATCCCTTTACAGTCCTCAATGACCTGCTCCCCAGCGCTAGAAACCTGCCCCACTACACCCCTGGCTGTTCACCCAGCCTCTGCTTGGCTGGTGTCATCTCCTTGGGATAGCAATTGGTCCAGAGCAGGCAAGCCTCGAGTGGCAGGCACCACAGAGACAGGCATGCCTCTGTAAGAAGTGTATCAAGGGGAACACTACCACAGATGTGGCCACCTTTCTGAGATCCAACAGTGCTCCAAGGCTTTTGAGTGATTGCCTAGTAGACTCTCAGCGTAGGACAGAAGAAGGACAGGTTTTGTAGGATGGGTGGGAAGCCCATTCCTCTGGGGAACATCAGTACTTTGCTCTGGACATATGTTCTGAAGGTTGAGGAGGGTGTCTCAGTGTCACAGCTCTCAGGGTGACTGGTAAGGACGTAGGGACATTGGTTGGGCTCAGTAGTCAGAAGGTGTGCACTAAAACTGCCCCATTCACTGCACTTCCAGTAGGAGGAGATGGGGGAGGAGGAGAGGGGATGGACCATACAGGACAGTGTGCAGAGGAGTAGCTGGAAGAGGGAGGGATGGGCAGATTAGTTAGGGGAAAGAGGAGTGACTGGTACCACAGCCCTTTCAGTCAGATTGGCCTGAGAAGCTTCAGCCTCTCTCAGACCCCAGTAATCTGGCATGTGACACATTTTCTTATTCCTGCAGCCTGAATGACTTTGCATCTTGGCAGGTTTTGTCTTCACTAGGAGCTCAGATTGTTCAGGAAGCTTTTCCTTTAGGTCTTTATTTCAGCTTCAGAACAGGTCATCAACACAGACCCCTTGAGACATGTACCAGGGTAAATGAGAAGGGGCTTGAATGCCTTCCTGTGCACTCTTGAATTTTCTCCCCTATGTCCCTGGTACAGGATTGCTGCCTCCTTTCATCTGTTTCACACATCCACCTTTCCTCTCCCTCTCCTCTTCCATGTGAAATTTCTCTCCTTCATTCTTCTCTCACCAAAAGCCCCTCTCAAATAGGTCCTTCCACCTACAGTGTCTCCAGCAGTAGCATGGTCTGTGGTGGGAGACAAAGGCAAACAGGACTGAGCCATTATCCAATATCTGATGCTCTCCACCTGCTGCCCTCACTGTGAGCACTGACTGCTCTGCCCCACCATACACCCAGGTCAGAGGTTGTTTTGTCACTATTGAGTGCCTTGGTATTGCTGGGCAGGCAGCTTCGTGGAGCCCAGCCAGCAAGCCAGAGCTATACTTGCGGTCATGACAAGGCCTTTTTACACCACAATCAGACTGAAATATTACTGAGGCCTTCTGGAGGAGGAGAGCTCACTGTGAGCTGATGTGCACCACACTTTTGCTTGCACCACTCCCTGCCTTGACTTTTCTGCCTGGCAAAAGGGAGCCACGGGCATCCCAGAGGGGACTGAGCTGGGAAGCTGCTCGCTCTCAGTGTGCTTGTCTGTGCTCACAGATTCATGAAGAAAGGAAGGTCACACAAGCCTTTGCTTCAAGGAAGCTCCAGTCTGGTAGGCAAGGAGCTCTTCAGCAGGCAGGGAGCATGCTCATATCCTTACAGCTTAACGTTTTGTTTCTTACACCTTTTTCTCATTGTCTTTTTATTTATAGAAGTATCCCCAGCTTCATCCAGTTCTGGGAATTTCAACCAATTCACACCAGATTCAGCCACCAGTCCGCATTCATCGTCCTCATCCCCACAGCCTACAGCTAAGTCTCAGAAGGGCAGAGAATATGGCGTGGAGGGGATGAGGAAGACCAAGAGCCGTACAGCTTTCTCCAAGGAGCAGCTGCAAACCCTGCACCAGCGCTTCCAGAACCAGAAGTACCTCAGCCCCCAGCAGATCCGGGAGCTGGCTGTTGCCCTGGGGCTCACGTACAAGCAGGTGAACACAGAGACTTTGACCCACAGTGTATCGATCTCACAGCAGCTGAATGGTCACTTAAGGAAATGCCTGGATGGAAAGATGAGTCCCCAGCAGGGACTGAGGGAAAGGTGCCAGCTAACAGTTGCTTCCCTGCTTATTCATGCCCAGAGATCAGAAACACTTTTGCAGCTAGAGGGATCAGTGGCACCTCATTTGGGCCTCTACAAGTCAGGGTCAGTTAAGGGTTCTGTTGCCAGCACTTGTAGTAGAATTGCAAACCCAGTGATGAATATGTTGTTCACCACAGTCTCTACCCTGGGCTTGACAGCACTTCACAGATTTGTTCATGTGCTGTGAACTTCACAGAAACCCTGGCATGCGTCTGTTCTCTGAGTCAAGGGGCTTCGACACGCTGACAGCTCTTGCTAGTGTCCTCTAGGTCTTGTTCAATATCTAATAGTGCTCCACACTCAGCACTGCCTGGCTGCTTGACATGTGCTCTCCTCCCCGTGGGTGCTGCTAGGTTCACACATCACTGTCCTTTAGCGTCTCTGGTGATCTCTAGGTAGGTTGTGTGCAATGAAATGATGCAGCACACAAAGGAAGGGAGCTGGGCCACAAGAGCTTGCAGTTACAAGTCCAAAATCTGCCTGAAATACGGATCTCAGAGCTGGGCATGATGGGCTGGATGTCCTGGAACTACAAAAAGTTACAGGTCCATTGGAAGTGCACACATACGGCACACACTGAACTGGTTCTGTCAGGAGCAAGACAGGTGCGACAGTCTGCTCTTTCCTTCAATCCACATCCTTGCAAAGGCTGCTTTCACAGCACAGACACAGCCCGGGGGCAAATGGCCCTGGAATTCACCTCAGCAAGGGGCTTTGAATTTGAGAACTGCTGGGTACAAGGAGCAAGTCTGTCCCTTCTCTGTTTGCAAATATGCAGAACCTGCGACTTAGAAGTTTGCCTGTAGTGCAGGGGGCTTGTAGAGGTGTCGGTGGATCTGATTTACACCAGTCATTCACCTCCATGATTGGAATGAGTCGATTTGTCACAACTATCACTGTTCTCTTGACACCGAGCCACCCCCTCCCCCATCACACAGTTGCACTAGCCACCTGCTGAGGCTGCTAGACAGACCTCTCCCCTTGGCAACATCCCCCCAGGAATTCTTAAAGGCTTTTATCTGCTGCTGCCCGTGTATCTCTGCCATCTGGTCACTCTCCCTCTGGTTCTTCCTGCTTGTGAATTTTGTAACATTTGTTCTTCCCTCTCTTTTGCTGACATTTTTTCTGTTTTCCCTTCCTCATCCAGGTGAAGACTTGGTTCCAGAACCGGAGAATGAAGCTGAAAAGGTGCCAGAAGCACAGCCTGTGGACCGAACGGGCTCAGTGCCTCACACAGGTAAGAACACAGCACATGGCTCATCATGGCTCTTCTGTCTGGGCACGTCAGTCCCGTATTTCCTCTGTGAGGGGCAACTTAAGCGTACAAGTGTGAGCGTACCTGGCCTCCTGGTTTGCTTAGCACAGAGGCACAGACTTGGCACCAACCCGTGTACTGCAGGTAGCCCAGTAATGGGCTGGCTATGCCACAAAAATGTTTTCAGGAAAAGGCTGTTTCCCTCCTATGTATATATGAATATATATATATATATATATATATGATTGTGTATCCACCCC